CCTCAACATAAACATCTCCTCTGGCGCACACACGTGCACACACACACACACACACATTCATGCACATGCACACACATTCATACACACACTTAGAATCCTACATTGTAGCAAAGAGCTTTATCTCTCATTGGACCATATGGATCTAAGCGCTAGTAGCTCATGCCTATAATCCTAGTTAATCTGGAGGTTGAGATCTGAAGATTGCAGTTTGAAGCCAGCCCAGGCAGAGAAGTCAGTAAGACTCTTGTCTCTAATTAAACATCAGAAAACTGGCATTTGTTGTGCAGACATCCAGGTACAAAGAACAAAGAAAAGGCTTATTGCCAGTAAAGGGACCGACAAGAGACAAGTAGTGCCTGGATATTATCTCAAGTGACTTTTTTTTGGGGGGGGTCCCGTCGTGGGGCCTGAACTCTGGGCCTGGGCGCTGTCCCTCAGCTTTTCAGCTCAAGGCTAGCACTGTACCACTTGAGCCACAGCGCCACTTTCAGCTTTTTTCTTTTTGCTTATGTGGTGCTGAGGAATCGAACCCAGCGTCTCAGGTATGCAAGGCAAGCACTCTACCACTGAGCCACCTTCCCAGCCCCTCAAGTGATTTTTATAACCTCTGAAATTTGGGGAATCTTGCTGCTTTAAATGGTTATAGCTGTCCCAAAGGAGTGCCCTCTCAGGTGACCTAAATGTCCTGTGATGTTTAGGAGATCTTGCTGCCTTCTATGGTTGTAACTGTCCCAAAGGAGTGTTCTCTCAGGTGATGAGGGTAGAGGCTAATCATTTACTGCCTTACCACGTGGGCCTAGTGTTGTCTAGGGAAAGAGCATGCTAAACTGTGAGAGAGGAGGCTATTGGGCTAACAGCTTTGTGGCTCAAAGTGGCAGAGTGCTGACCTTGAGGGAAAAAACTCAAGGACAGTACCCAGGCTCTGAGTTCAAGTCCCATGACCACCAACAAAAACAAAGCTGGAAGTGGAGCTGTGGCTCAAGTAATAGAACACTAATCTTGAGCAAAAAGTTCAGGGACAGCACCCTGGCCCTGAGTTCAAGTTCAGGACTGGCATGCACACACGCATAAACACAGACATACATACAAATCATATAGAGCTTGACACTGTGGTGTGCACCTGTAATCCTGGCATTCAGGACATTGAGGCAGGACATTCAAAGCCAGCCTGAGTTATATAGCAAGACATCAATCTAAAACAAAAAATCTTTTAGCTGGGTGCCGGTGGCTCATACCTGAGGTCTGACGATTGTGGTTGGAGCCAGCCTGAGTAGGAAAAACTGTGAGACTCTCATCTCCAATTGACCAGCAGAAAACTGGAAGTGGTGCTGTGGCTTAAGTGTTAGAGCACTAGCCTTGAGTGAAAGAAGCTCAGGAAGGAGGAGAAGGTAGAGATGAAAAGGAAGCAGAAAAGAAGAAAGGAGAAGGCGCACAAGAAGAAAAGGAAGAGGAAGAGATACTTCAAGTAGCTGGCATGTTAGATGTGAGTTGCTACCGTTCTTTCTGTTTTCCACTCCTACCTCACTGTCTGGTATCAAATGCCAGAGACACTGCCTACAAAAATAGAGATGTGTGTGTGTGCGTGCGCATGCGCACGCGCACGCAGCTGGTGACCTATAGTAGAAAATACTTGCTAAGGAATGATGAAACAGGTTTCCAGGGAGCCAACATGGTTTTGGTCTCTGGCAACAAAATGAAGCAAGGGTACCTGTACGGCACTGACCAGGCTGCTAGCTGCCTTTGCACTCACTCAACTGGAACCAGAGACACTATTAATGATGATAGGAAGGGTTGTCTATTTAGCGATGAAGAAACTATGTAGTGCAGCTATTCTTCCATCCTGCCTTCTCCATGCTGGCATTGTGATTTAAAGAAAAGATTGCTGTAGCTGTTTGCATATTCTACAAGTGTGTGTGCCTGTGTGTGGTTTTGTGTTTATAGATTTGGGGTTGTGGAGGGGAGTTTCCAAAGTAACGGAAGTAGCTGCTTGTCAGTCAAGGCTCATTTTGAAAATGAAAGCCTGAAATTTGGAGGCCTACTCTGGGCCTGGGCCGGGTCTCTCAGGAGTCCACAAAGACCACAAGGGAGTTTTGGCTACTGGGCTCAAGGAAGATGCCACATAATCAGTTTTCTTTTCTATTCTTTTTTTTCAGTTGTGGGGCTGGAACTCAGGGCCTGGGCACTGTCCCTGTGCTCTTTTGCTCAAGGCTAGCACTCTACCACTTTGAGCCACAGTGCCACTTCTGGTTTTCCGGTAGTTAAATAGAGATAGAATCCCACAGACTTTCCTGCCCAGCCTAGCTTTGAACCATGATCCTCAGATCTCAGCCTCCTGAGTAGCTAAGATTACAGGCATGAGCCACTGATGCCTGGCTTTCCTTTAATTTTATCAACTGGCCAACTCAATGAGTTGCTTTTAGGGTAGTACAAATTTGGTCTAAAGTAGGGATGTGAAATTTGGCATGGAGACACACAAACATACTTTCATACTCACATACACACTTATTAATTTTCTTAGGCTACCATACCAGAATAAAGTAAAAACCATTTATTTTGCATGTAGTAGGTACACAAAGGGGTATGATATAGTTATCCAAGAATTATTAAGTCCATTCTGGCTGGACTAAATAGGAAGTTGACTAGAGCAGGTAGAATACTAAGTATGATCTTTATTATCTTTTATTTTGGGTGGTAGTGGAGTTTTGGACTCAGGCCTTTAATGATTGATAGGTAGGTACTCCACTGCTGAGCCATACTCCCACTCCTTTTTTTGCCCTAGTTGTTGTGTGTGTGTGTGTGTGTGTGTGTGTGTGTGTGTGTGCCAGTCCTGGGGTTTAAACATAGGGCCGGAGCACTGTCCCTGAGCTTCTTCACTCAAGGTTAGCACTGTACCACTTGAGCTACAGCTCCATTTCTGGATTTTAGTAGTAAATTGGAGATAAGAGTCTCGTGGGCTTTCCCACCCAGGCTGGCTTTGAACTGTGATCCTCAGATCTTGCCCTCAGAGTAGCTGGTGGCATTAGCCACCAGCACCTAGCTTCTAGTTGTCTTTAAGACAGGATCTTGCTTCCTATCTTGGTGCATTCCTAGATCCTGACTGGCCTATTTTAGACTTCCCTGGAGTTAATACAACAGGCAACAATGCCACACCTAGCTCTCCATTGAGAAGGGGGTCTCTTGAACTTTTCTGTTGGAGGTGGCCTTGAAACTCGATCCTCCCAATTTTAGTCTCCCAAGTAACTAGGATTATAGGATTATAGGTTTGAACCACTGGCGTCCAGCTTTTTTTTTGGTGGGGCCGGGGAGAAGGGAAGGACAGTACTGGGGTTTGAACTTAAGGACTCACACTTGTTAGGAAAGCAAGCACTCTATCTGTTGAGCCACAGCCATAGCAAACAAGGTGGCCTTTGAGAAAAAAAGAATTGCACTTAACACAAAGGAGGAAGACTGTTCAACTAGACAAGGGTAAGTCCGAGATACTTTCTAGTTAAGGCATCTGTTTGGCTGCAATTTGGGGCTTGTGTATGATTTGCAGTTGGCAAACCTGGCTTGAAGGTCAGTCCTTCTCTGCCAGAACAAAGGCTACTGTATCACCAAGACCTGCTCTGCCACTTCCTGCTAGGTGACCTTGGGGAAGTGGTCTAACCTCTCTGCAAACTGAGTTACACTTAGTTGTTAAGGTCACCAGGAGGATTAAACGAGTTAGCCTATATAAAGCACATCTGGCACATAGTGACTGTTGTGAAGGAATGCTCACAATTTGAGAACCAAGGAGAAAAAAAATCTTGCCACCTTGCATTACGGGTGCCACTGCTGGGCCCAGCGGGCTGGTGTGCTATGAGGCACTGTTCTGTGGTCTAGACTGCTGGTTCACTCTCCTGGGTTTTTGCCTCTTTTGAATAAAACCTTCATCATTACTTTGTTCCTAATTCTAGAGCCTTCTATGGCCTCCTGATGCCCCTAAACCAAACTCAGTAAAGAGGTGGTGAAAATTTCCATTTTTTGAAACAAGAGAAAAACAAAAAGGCTTGTGTTTAAGGTAAAAAGATACAACTTCCCTCTGTGTTTTGTGTGTGTGTGTGTTGGTTCTGGGGCTTGAACTCAGGTCGTGGACACTGGTCCTGAGCTTTTGTACACAAGGCTAGTGCTCTACCACTGGAGCCACAGGTTCAGTTCTGGCATTTTGGTGAGTAATTGGAGATAAGAGTCTTATGGATTTTCCTGCTGGGGCTGGTTTTGAACTATGATCCTCAGATGTCCACCTCCTGAGTAGGAAGGATTACAAGTGTGAGCCACTGGCACCGGGTAATAACTGCGTTAAAAAAACAAACAAGAAACAAAAAACTGCTACTGAGGAGGCTGAGATCTGAGGATTTCGGTTTGAAGCCAGCCCAGGTAGAAAAGTCCCCGAGAAACTCTTATGTCCAATTAAGAAGCCAAAAACCAGAAGTGGAGCTGTGGCTCAACGTGGTAAAGTGCTAGCCTTCTGCAAAAACAACGACAACACACACACACAAATCAACTTTTACAAAACTCAATCCAAGCCCTACGATCGGCCAAAAAAAAAAAACAGGGTGAGAGCAAAGATCAATTACCTAGCTTGGATTCACCTGTAGCTACTTTTTCAAGCCAAACTTGGCTAATAAGCACACCAAGGCAGCAGAGAATAGAGCGGCCCCCAGCAGAGGAGCAGAGGAATAGCCCAGCCCGTTCCTATTTAGCTGGACAGCTCAGGCTCGGCATGGCCGTTGGTCTGGAGTGTTTCTGTAAGGATCCCCAAGCAGCCACTGGGTGCTGAGGAAAGGATCAAGGTCACTCAAAGGAAAGCGCAGTGGAGCCTGAGTCACTAGGGACGGCCAGATTGCCCGTGTGAAAGCTAAGAGCGGGACAAAGGCTGCTGGAGGCCAAAGTGCAGGACGATTCCTAAAGAGATAAGAGGGAAACCCGAAGGAAGGGGGTGGGGAGCGAGCGCCTCGGAGCTCAAAGATCGCGCTCGCAGAATGAGGTTTCGGTTGGAAGCCCAGCGCAGTCTCAGCCCCGCGAGGACTGTAGGGGGTGTGGGGGAGGCACCCTAGAGTCTGGGCGGCTGGGATGCTGAGATCCCCCGCGGCCAGGGTAACCTCGGCCCAACCCCCTAGCCGTCTCCCGGCTGTCCGCGCCAGGCGGTGGGCGGGGCTTCCAAGCTCACCTGGCCGTTTGGGGCGGAGCCGCCCGAGGTGCCGGACGTGGGAGTACCGGTGGTCTCTCAGTTGCAGCAGCTGGAGTCGGCTTTGAGGATTTGGCTGAACCTCCCATTCCATCAAGCCCCCCTCCATCCCTCCACCCCTCCACCCCCTGTTCGCCCTCGCCAGGCCCCACCCCTAATTTACTCCCGTGCACGTCCTCTTCAGCTCCCTCCCTAGGAGCCTAAGTTACTCGAGCGTCTTCCCCACCGCCAGCGCCAGTTCCTGTCCCGATGGGGATCGGGAAGGCCAACGATCGCTAGGCACTAGAACCACGCTGGTGACAGCCACCAAGACCATGGCCCAGTCCGGAGCCTCCGCGAACTCGGAATCCAAGCCCTTGCTCAAGCCAACTCCTAGGAGCCTGCGGGGCGCTCCGCAACTCCGCCCGTCCTTAGGGAACACCACTACCCTGGGCAGGTACTGGGGCCACGCCGCCGCTGTTTCCCGGGAGTCCTCCTTTCAGGGTTCACTGATGCTCCCCGAAGCCAGCTTCGCGCGCCGGCGAGAAACACTACGAGAACTGCTGGGGCTGCAGAGGATGTCTGTTCCCTCCAGGTGGTTATCGGTGGGGCACGCGAAGGAGCCATCCCCGCGTGGGTCTGGTAGGCTGAACGGCTCTAGTGGTGGCGGATTGTTGCTGGAACCGCGGGAGCACGCGTGGATCCTGGCAGCCGCCGAGGGTCGTTTTGAAGTGCTGCGGGAGCTGCTGGAGGCTGAGCCCCGGCTGCTGCTGCGGGGCGATCCGATCACCGGCTACACCTTGCTGCACTGGCTGGCCAAACACGGCTACCACGAAGAAATGATTTTGGTTTATGATTTTGCCAAACGCCAGGGACTGCCGCTTGACGTGAGCGCTACCGGCAGCGGTGGCTTCACACCGCTCCACCTGGCGGCTCTGCAGGGCCACGACATGGTCATCAAAGTGCTGGTAGGCGCCCTAGGTGCTGACCCCACGCGCCGTGACCATAGTGGCCACCGAGCCTGCCACTACTTGCGGCCTGACGCCCCTCAGAAGCTTCGGGAGCTGTCGGGGGCCGAGGATTGGGAGACCGAACAACAAAAGAAGCGTGATCACAACGCCGACCACAACAACAGCAATACTACATCGGGGTGGATGCTCAAACGGACCCTGAGCATGCCTGCAGCATCGACTAGGGCGGTGGCGGACATAGAGACCGAGGCAGAGGCGGCAGCAGCAGCGGCAGAGGCAGCACCGACAGCATCGACGGCACCGACATCTGCTTCCAAAAAAAAGAAGGCTACAGGCAGTCAGGAGACATATATGAATAGATTTTTACGCCATTTGTTCCCTTTCTTCCAGGATCGCTGAGAAAAACTAAGGCTGGATTGCGCAGAGGGAGCTGCGACACAATTGATCAGGCGTTTATCTTAAGGTTGTGTTGAGGTACGGATGGAGCAGTGCCTCTGATTGGGTATGGATGCACAGAGCAACCATTCAAGAACCAGGTACCTGTCCCACTTCTCCGGCTGCCATCCCTTGAAAGGACTGAGGACTTTGCTAACGGAGAGATGCCAAGTACCAAACTGGCTTGGCTACAAGACTGAGTTAGGAGCAGGGATTGTGATTTTCCTTGGGAGGGGGAAATGTGACGTTGCAGAACACATTTCTGGGGAGAAAAAGTGCTATATTGATTAATAAACATTCAGTAGAACACTAAGATATCACTAACCCATTGGTGCTGAACTAATGTCTTAACTGCTTGCGAATTCTGCCCTTAACCAGTCTTCCCCCTTTCTGCTGACAGGCACCCACTGGCTACCTGAGCCTGAAACTACACAGATCTGTCCTATGCGTAGTCTAATGTGTCACAGATGACCTTTTATGTATATTAAATAAAGTGGATTTTTTTCTCTCTTACAAAGCTACCCTTTCAGTGCATTAGTTTTATTAACCACAGAGGGACAAATTACATATGTTTGCAGGCAAGTGTGGCCAGTCCATGGCCACAAGCTCAGGAGTCCTGACAGGCTCTGGGCCTCATTCCCAAAACAGCCAGAGTTGAGCACTAGAAGGAGCTCCTTTCACATTGGCTCTGAGTACACACTTCACCTGTGTCCTAACTTGTTTGGCACCCAGGTCTGGCCTTGCACCTGAGTCTCATCTTTCAGAAGTTGGCATGGAGCGAGGCTTAGGAGTGGTTAAACAAAACAAACTTACAAATTTCCATTTCTGATATTTAGTAACGTGTGCCTCCCAATGAGACACACGGAAAGAGTTACATCCACTGACTTTTTTCCCAAGATAAAAAATTTCCTCATCTACATTGTTTAAAATAAAGACCAATAGACAAGTGATATTTTGGACAATGCCTCCCATTCAGAAACTATGAATTAAACAAAATATGGGGAGGCTTGACTTAGCCTCAAAGGAGGGAAACACAATTGGTGGCTAGAAATCCATGCTTCCTTAGAGAATAGTGGGTTTTTGTTGTTGTTGTTGGTTGTGGGACTTGAACTCTGGCCCTGGGTGATGTCCATTAGCTCTAGCACTCTACCACTTGAGCCACAGCGCCACTTCCAGTTTTGTGGTGGTTTTATTGGAGATAAGAGTATCATGGACTTTCTTGCCTGGACTGGCTTTGAACCATGATCCTCAGATCTCAGCCTCCTGAATAGTTAGGATTACAGGCATAAGCTACCACTGCCCAAGCTGGATTTTCAATTTTTTTTTTTGGTCAGTTGTGGGGCTTGAACTCTGGGCCTGGGCGCTGTCCCTCAGCTCTTCAGCTCAAGGCTAGTGCTCTAGTGCTTGAGCCACAGTACCACTTTTCCGGTTGTCTGAGTGGTTTATTAGAGATAGAGTCTGGGGAGGGGGAGGGGGAGGGGGAGGAGGAAGAGTCTCACAGCCTTTCCTGCCCTTGCTTTGAAATGAGATCCTTAGATCTCAGCCTCCTGAATAGCTAGGATTGCAGGCCAGCACCTGGCCTGGGTTGGATTTTCAAAAGCACTATCACCCAGGATCCAGTGACTCATGCCTATAATCCTATTTACACAAGAGGCTGAGATGTGAGGATCCCAGTTCAAAGCCAGCCAGGGCAGAAAAGTACTCATGAGACTCTTGTTTGTTTGTTTTTTTTTTTGGGTCCGGTCGTGGGGCTTGAACTCTGGGCCTGGGCGCTGTCCCTCAGCTCTTCAGCTCAAGACTAGCACTCTACCACTTGAGCCACAGCGCCACTTCTGGCTTTTTGCTTATGTGGTGCTGAGGAATCGAACCCAGGCCCTCATGCATACAAGGCAAGCGCTCTACCACTGAGCCACCTTCCCAGCCCCCTCATGAGATTCTTATCTCCAATTAACCACTCAAAAACTGGAGGTGGTGGGGCTGGGAAGGTGGCTCAGTGGTAGAGCGCTTGCCTTGCATGCTCGAGGCCCTGGGTTCAATTCCTCAGCACCACATAAGCAAAAAGAAAAAAGCCGGAAGTGGCGCTGTGGCTCAAGTGGTAGAGCGCTAGCCTTGAGCTGAAGAGCTGAGGGACAGTGCCCAGGCCCAGAGTTCAGGCCCCATGACCGGACCCAAAAAAAAAAAACTGGAGGTGGTACTGTGACTCAAAGCTAGCCTTAAGCCAAAGAGCTCAAGGACAGTGCCCAAGCCCCCAGGAACAACAACAACAAAAATAGCTCTGTATCTGTGGAGGCTCTGGTAGTCCTTGCAATAGATTTGTGTCACTTACCCCTCAAATGCTAGGAAGAAACTGAGTCAGCAGAGAACAGCTCAGAAATGCCACCCTGAGCCCACCTATGAAGTTTTCCACCTCTCATAGGTCTGTTTTGCCCTGGAAACTTCCCTACCTAACTCCCCCTTAATAACTCATTCACTTCTTCTCATCCATGAAATGAAGCAAATTCCTATTGCAGTCTTCAGCCAGCCCCAGCCAGGTCTCTAGGAACTATAACTTAAACATATATTTATACAGCGTCTTATGGCATTTCCTTCTTTTCCCCCCTGAAACTTGAACTCAGGGCCTGGGCACTGTCCCTCAGCTCTTCAGCTCAAGGGGAGCACTCTACCACTTGAACCACAGCAACACGTCTGGCTTTTTCTGCTTACGTAGTGCTGAGGAATGGAACACAGGGCCTCATGCATGCAAGATGAGCACTCTACACTGAGCCACCTTCCCAGCCCCTCAACCTTGTCTTTAGACTTTCAAAGGTAAGAGCTAAGGGAAGCCATCAGCCAGAGCCTACTGACCCAAGGGCAGATTCCTCTTTAGGCTCCAAGCTTGGAAAAGATAAGATGAGTTGGCACTGAGCATTCAAAACACCCTTAAAACAATGGTCCCTTCCTTGGAGGAAAAGTGTGTAGTCAAGTATCAATTTTTAGCAAGTTTGGGCCCCTGGAGCAAGCATCTGCCCTGTTGTTCTGGAAATGAAAAGCAAGTCTAGCTTAAGGTTTTGAAAATGGCTTTCTGTATAGTCTTTCTCCACAGATTTTCACACCATATGATATTGCCTAGCCTGTGTTTTCCAGGTAAAATTGAGGCTTGACTGTAGGGGATGAACTCTTTCTAGACCAAGGCTGAAAACTTACTCCATACCTTATAGCAAATCAATGCATTAGAGCCTATTCCCAGGGTGGGGGGTGGAGTTACAAGCTGGGGATGCCAAATTGCCTTTGGAGGAGGGACCCTGATGAGACAAGGAAATGGGGAGAGGCAAGACTGTGATTGGTCAGAATGAGCGTTGGTGCCTGTAATCCTAGCTACTCAGGAGGCTGAGATCTAAGGATCTTGGTTCAAAGCCAGCCCAGGCAAGAAATTTCCATGAGACTCTTATCTCCAATTAATCACCAGAAAATCAGAAGTGGAGCTGTGGCTCAAAGTGGTAGAGCATTAGCTTTCAGCAGAAAAAGCTCAGGGCTGCCGGGCACTGGTGGCTCATGCCTGTAATTCTAGCTGCTCAGGAGGCTGAAATCTGAGAGTCACAGTTCAAAGCCAGCCCCGGCAGGAAAGTCCATGAGACTCTTATCTCCAATAAACCACTAGAAAACCGGAAGTGGCCCTGTGGCTCAAGCGGTAGAGTTCTCTCCTTGAGCTGAAGAACTGAGCGACAGCGTCTAGGCCCAGAGTTCAATCCCCATAACTGACAGAAAAAGAAAGAAAAGGAAAGAAAAAGCTCAGGGCCTGTGCCGAGGCCATGAGTTCAAGCCCCACTACCACAAGTATGATGGTCTTTCTGATATATGCCAATTTGGCTAGGCTTTATAGCCCAGTTTGTCCATCAAATAGGAACCTAGGAGTTGTAGGGCAGGTTCATAATGACTTCATTCTAAGTAAAGAAAATGCTCCTAGATAATCTCAAGTGACTGATTTTAATCAGTTGGGAAGCCTCCAGAGCAGAGTTGAGGTTTCCCTGAGGAAAGAAATTCTATCTCTGGTCTCCTATATCTGCATGCCTGTCTGCCTTGCCTGCGGGCCTGCCTGGTGGCCTTTGATTTTCCTAGGCAGAAAACCAAGATCACACAAGCCACTACTTTGCAATAATTTATAATTGAATCATGAATAATTGAATCAAATAACTTAAAATATTTTCTCGAAATTCTACTTATCTTGTTAAACACTGATAGGGAGGGAAGAAGGGAGCGAAGGATGGAAGGAAGGAGGGAAGGGTGGGAAGGAAGGAAAAAAGAAAGAGAAATGGTCTGGGTGATCTGTTGGGCCCACCTCCAGTTTCAGCCCTAATTAGTGACATCTTCTCCCTCCACCCCACCCCCTTTCCACAGCACTCTACTACCTAAGCCACAGCACCACTTCTGGCTTTTTCTGTTTATGTGGCACTTAGGAATTGAATCCAGTGCTTCATGCATGCTAGGCAAACACTCTACCACTAAGCCACATTCCCAGCCCCTCTCCTAGAGTTTCCTGACCAGGATGGCTTTGAACCTTGATCCTCAGATTTCAGCCTCCAGAGTAACTACAGGCGTGAACCACTGATACCCACCCATTTTATCATTCTCTAGACTGCACTTTGTCTCTGTCTCATTGGACTTTCTGGACATCACATTCTACCCTGCGGTCCAGCTCCCTCCTCTGACTCAATGTAACTGCTCATCACCCTTCAGGACTCTGCTAGGCCATTCCTCAGTCCAGCACCCAACACTCAGTACCCTACATCCTGCACTGTGAGCTTCAGGCAGTTGACCTTCAATCTAGAGTTGCTGCCTTTCCATCAAATGAATAGTTAGATTTTTTTTTCTTTTTTTATTGTGAAAATACTGTACAGAGGGTTACAATTACATGGGCAAGATAGTGAGTACATTTCTTATCAAGCAAATAGTTACATTTTTGTAGCTTTTTTGCCTTCTGTTTTCAT